TACCATTAAAGGAAATATGATGTCTGACTAAAAGCGGAGCGACTATGCTTTCACGTCCCAGCTTGTTAAACGCGATCTAGGCAGATAGCTCGTTGAGCTTGACGAAATGACGTAACGATCACAAATAAGAGCGGAGCATAACGGCCGATATTGTCTAGCCAGAGAAATTGACATAGTTTCAATTCAAACGATATAATTAAACTTTGTAATAAAGAAAAAATTTTCGAAATACAAGCCAAGGACAACAGTAAAGTGGTCAATAGTGCAAAGTGAAAATGCAAATGCACACATGTTTCCGGAAATATTATTGAAATTTATTTAGCGCATTAATTTATATTCACAATTTACAAAAATTTAATAATACGTTAATATTATTGCAATAAATTTTGTGGTAAATATAAAAATTTATAACCAAATAAAATTCACAAGGCCCCGACGTGAAATCGCCAAGTAACAAAGGATATAAGTGCCAAGGCAGGATGTTAGTGTCTGAATGATTTTAATTTTTATATAAAAATTTGTATCATAAATTAATATCTCATTCATATGCTCGTGTACATTTCTTGTAAATGTATTTCGTTTGAAATGCAACGGAGAGAAATTTTGTCACTTTATCTCTCTCCTTCACGTGTATCTTTTCAAATTCAGGAGATTAGATTCGACTAATTTTCGCGTGAAACTTTACTTCGGAGCTTCGTTCCAGCCATTTAAATGTTCAATCTCGTATACCATGCAACGAAGAGCAGAAGAGAATACGGAAGAGAGAAAATGCGAAGCTCACCCTGTCGGTTTGTTATCGTTGCGACGCGAAGCGCACTTCTATCTCCCGAGGAATAAAGATAAAAGCGAGACACGAACGAACGATATCCGTGATCGAAGCTTTCAACTGAAACGAAGTGCAAGACAGGTTCGCGTTTTCGTCCCTTGGACCTCCTCGCAAGGATATACAATGCATGAGACTTCGGAGAGAGGATCGTCGAAGCTCCGTCTTTCCATGCGTTTCTCGCGTCGTCTGCCTCTCCCGATGATTATCTTTACGTTCCTCCTCTAGTTCCACTTTCCGCTGTACACGATGAAAAATATATTGCAATTATGCAATTGCCGGAAACATTTTCGAGAGAATTAGTTTAACCACTTGCAATTACTTCGGCGGCAAAATAATCTAAATCCACATCGTTAACGAAGAGCGTAATTTCCTGCCATTACTCCAAGATTGTCATTGAGCCACGTCGAACTGCCACTATCAATTATAGTGTTTTGCAAACCGGCGCTTAAGCATCTTTTCTCTAGCACTTTTGCGTATTAAGAGCGTAATACCGGTTATTTTCCATACTGGGCTTTAATTGTCATCCTCCGTGCTCCTTCGGCGGATAATTCATAACTGGCACGAACAGTAATTTATTGCCGGAAACTCGTTAAGATCGCTACTTCAGAACCAGTTCTTCAAAGCGGCTCGATAATGCATCTCACACGCCCGCTCCACCTAATCGATATCTCCGTCCTCGCGGAGATTTCGCGGATACTTCATTCTCGTTACGCGACTGTACAAAGGAGTACGGACGGTAACTCTACAATTACGACGAGGGTTAAAACCACTGCGGCAGGTCGCCGAGTTTATGAAAACGAAGAAAAATTATCGTCGCTGATAAAAAAAAATCTTGTGCAATATATTATTACAGCGCATGAAGAACTCAAAAATAATATTTCAGCGCGTCCGCGAAGCAAGCAGAGGTGCTTGGCGACGCATTAAACGAAATTAATCTCGAAAAGTGTCGCTTTAATTTTATCTCGTGAAATTTCACATTATTTTGACCTTGGCGTTAAATCTTTTTCTATGTATTATAATTTAACCGAGCACATTTTAATTAATGATAAAATTTATCTCGAATTACTTTTAATTACTAACGCGCTTTCGAAACGTGCGTGACGCAACTCTCGCGGCTCGTCGATAAGACGACTCTCGGCAACTTGAAAAATTCCCCCCCGCATCGGCGACGGCGATCGTAATGAGAACAAGAACTACATCTTTATCCTTCTAACGACGAGAAAAAGAGGGACGGAAGAAGAAATAAGTCAGTTGAGACGAGCGGGTGGACGGGGGTGGATCAGTACGTGTCTAGCTTTGAGAGTACACACCGACGACGAGGGGTTGTCGTCCTTCTAGCTGGCTGGCTGGCACGGAAACGACCTTGGAATCAGCTGTGCGATACGAGGATGAAATTTCCTACCGGGCGAGACGCGTCGACGTCTTAGCGCGTAGGAGGACTCGAAGAATAACGTGAAGGAAAAGAGGAAGAAAGGGGGAGGGGGAGGGAGGAGGGGGAGAGCCTCTATCTCGACGAGGTCGGGGATGGCACGACAATGAGGTCACTGAGATCCGATGGGGATGGATCCTCCTCGGCATTCCTTGCGTAAGTTACGGCGACATTTTTCCCGAGGAAATTTGCTTTTCGAATCGTAAAAAGGGTACGCGAGAGGGATCCTTTTAACACCTCCGCCTCCTCTCTTAATTTCGTTTGTACGTCGAAGTAGAGGGACGCGTCAACGCGACGAATCGCGTCTCCTCCGAGGTTTCCCCCATTCTCTTATTTACCATTTCAACCCGAATATAATATAAATGGCGGCTGCTCGATAATTGACAATAATATCGCGCGCCCGTTAAGCTATTAACTTTCATTGCACGAGATTCGCTAAAATTATTAATAAAGAGAATCGTAAAGAATAACCGATGAATTTCCCCTTTTACATTTTAATATAATCGATGCTCTTATCCATTTATCTCATTATTGTTACGCTTTATTGGTATATTCGCGATATTTTTAACAGATAACGCAAAGCGCGCCGTCGATATATTATTTATTCGCTTAAATTTAATTATGGAAGTGCCTGAAAAAAATATTGCATATAACAGCACTAATGTGTTTAAAAATTCTTTACCGAAAACAGTCTGCTTTTCCAGCAGCTGAAATAAATGCACGCTCGCTCAAATGTCTACTAATTAAGCAAAATTGTTTTTCTTTTGTGTCTTTAACATTTCCACCTATATCTCGTAAATTGCGAAGCTGCTAATCTAATTATCGCAACTAACAATGTTATTCGAACAAAATTCAATTAATTCCTCAATCGTTGGGAAATCTTTCTTTAATTATTGGTTCGCCACCGGCTTTCATTTCGTCCTCAATCAATCGACGCGATCATCGCATCTGAGAAACGAGCCGACCGTGGCTCGACCAATTTACACGGCCGTGCGGTAGTATCCATAATAAAATACACGATACCAGTTAGTCGCAGCGTTGCCATAGTTTAACAATATAGAAACAGGACGCATTGCGTATGCACCAAGAGAGGGGGTGAAAGAGAAAGAGCAGCCGAAAAAGGATCTATCTGCGATAACGAACGCATGGACACATAGCGAATAGTATCTCGACCCGGCACATAGCTCCAATGATTTCCGCGTATTTCGCACGGAATTTCGCATTAAAGATCAATAGTTAACGAGCTATTTGCTATAATTATTCAGCCGCTAATCGTACAGGCATTCGGTGCGCCACATCGTTACGCCGTCCGCGTGTACGTGTTCTCGTATTCCCGTCCGTTCATTCATTCGCAATGAATTTCCTTATATTTCAGTGTATCAATTAGAGAAAACCGATAAACACGCGCAACCCGCGGAGAACAATAATATAGTTTGCTCGGCGGGAATGTTATTTACCGGAGTATTCGCGAATCAATAAACTAATTTCTTTACTTCGACCGTAAAAGGCAAAGCACTTTGCAACCGAGAGAGAACGGCAGGACACACCGAGCGTTGTCGTTACGTGATACATGGATGCGCAGCCAAATTTAAGCGGGTCCCCGAGCAGCGTCTCGCCAAGAAAAATAGTCGCGTAAAAGAAAGAAAATAAAAATAGGGACGGAGATGGTAATCGAAGGAGGGCGTTGAAAAGCGCGACATCGCGCGTGCTAATCGAGATCCCGTAGACGCTATGAAAGTTCGACGAGAGACGATGGCTCGTGCAGGAAAAGGGATAACTGAAGGCAATGATCGAACGTGGCGTGACCCGGCAAATTACTGTCACTCGAGGTAATTTCAGCGTAATCGCCTCTTCCATTCCATTTACCGCGTCTAAAGCGAAATTTACCTTTCGAGCGTATCCGAGGCGAGAGAGCGGTCGTCGAAAATATACCGCGCGCGCGCAATGGCGAAACAATTCGCCAGGAGACACCGTAGACGCGATTCTGTCCGTCTTTATCTACGCACATCGGTACGCATTCTTCACACGCATCTGTTCTTCCTCTTTCGGTTTAGGCCCGCGATTACTATGGCGCGGTCGAATTTGCCGTTATTTTATTAAGTGATTTCACTGATGTAATCATATGAGCAAAATTAAGTAGATCGTCAACGATTCGGAGAAAAATTCTCGTTACATCCAGATCTTGATATAAAGACGTAACAGGGTGTCCAGCAAACTCGATGGAAAAGATTCCCGGACTTTTTCAGGTTTTCCAGAAGCCGGAATTAATTTTCCCCTGACAGTTTTGCGTAGCTCTTTTCAAGATGCACAATTTGCGTACATCTGTACGGTAAATCAAGCAAATGTTAAATGACGAAGTCCTCGAAATATTTTTCTCGGGAAACAAAAGTCCGGAATTAAAAAAAAATAACACGACGACGAAGATATAAATTACCGACCACGCTTTATAAATAAATTGTTGTTTAGCAAAACAGAAAATTAGTGTACTGAGGGCCAAAGAGAAGTTTATTTTTCACAAACTTTAAATTATTCAGAAAATAATGTGAAACGATGTAGAAATCCAGATAAATAGTAAAATGTCGTGACTTTTCAGATTTCCCTGACCACTGGACACCCTGCGCAAGCAATTGTGCACTCAAGAAAAACGCGTTGACAAAACTGACCCGCGGTCTCCCAGTTCTCTTTTCGTCGTTCCCCAAAACTTGGCCTTAGATCCGTACTCGAAACTGTACACCTAGCACTTACATTGGACACATTGTAGCTGCTGTATTGCTCTTTGGGACTGCCGCCGCCGTTCTGCTCGCACTGCTTGTTCTTGAAGGCTCGGTAATTCTCTCGGAGCTGTTTGCCGTACTGGAACACAAAGCGGAGCGGACATTGTTAATGCGCGAGTGTGGCAGTTCGCAGGATGCGCGCGGCGCGCGCGTCTAACCGATTCTACGCTCCGGGCGCATCGTAACATCCGAGGCCGATGAAGCAAACGGGTGTAAAAAAAACTGCACCTACGATTTGCATAATTTTACACGCGTCACTTTGTCGCATAGCGCCGGTCGACCGGCCGGTCGGCTAGCGCGTGCTGCCCAGCTGTGCGAGGCGGACCTGCCGATCGATACCCACGTCCGCCGAGGTATCGCGCTCGCCTAGATAAATTCAACGTTGCTACGCGGACAGAATACCAAAGTACCACCCGACTTTTCCCCGGATTTCTTCGACAATTAAATTCCTTTTCCCCGGCCTTTTGGGATGCGCGAAGCTCTAAATGTAATTACCATATTTTGAGAAGAATCTGGAACGGGAAGACAAAGAGGAGAGATAGAAGGAGGATTCGGCGTGGGGCAAAAAATTTCATTTTGACAATTAGAAATCAACTTAATCGCGTGTGCACTCGGGTGGAAAACGTAACGCGTTGCGGTAACACGAATAATATTGAAACGCGAGTTCGTATCCGGTCTTCGAGCAACAAGATTAGCGATATTCAATTTTCGGCTCGAACGAACTATGATCCTATTTCTTGCAAGAGGAATGCTCGATCGAAACAACCGATTCTTTTCGGGAAATATCTACGCTTCGCAGGCAACGATAAGGTTCCGCGATTGAGTCAAAGGTAATCCGTGCGAGCTCCTCTAAGCTCCTTATATCGCCCACGTGCTGGAGCATAGTCATTTAGAGCAAAGCCGACTTATGAATGAAGTTTACTTCCTTGCTCAACTCGGAGATCCTATAAATTCATTCATCTATTAAAAGAGAGCGCTGGTAATTTTAAATACGAGTATACTGCAAGACGTGGGAGCGGGGGAACCTATGAAACGTTAATTCTAAATGGATGTTATTTAATTTAACATTAATGGACCATACGCGGTCTTAAAATTTAGTCGTAGGATATTCAACGTCGAAGACCGAAGGTCAAATTTCGGTGCTCGATGAAAAGTCCACCGAGGAGCCCCGTTCCGGAAAAGTGAGAAGACGAACGTGTAACGTCGGCGCGTGCAGTTCGCGCAAGTATGTGTCGACTGCGCGACGAGACGAATGTGGACGCGAAAAACGAGACGAGACAGGAGGTGTACAGACGGTGCCACGTGAAATAACGACGGCGAACGTGTGCATAACCGTAGACCCAGCAGTGGTATAACCATCGTATCGACCCACAAGACAGTCGGGCGCATCCATGCTCGACTGACTGCTCACGCACACGCGCGCCCACCCACACACGCAAGCGTAAATTGCTCGTGACGTGCACGGCGCACACGCATACACGCGTAGTGGTACTAATATACCAATGCGGGCTGTAGCTTGCACCGCGGTACGAAAATTATCCCGGCGAGCTTTGCGACCGGCGAGAACTCGCTTAGCAACAGCAAAAATAAACGCGCCCTTTCGAACTTTTGTATTATTAACGGACGTGTTAAACTTGTCGAGCTGTGCGTGTCCTCGGCCGTTCCGTAAATAACTTTAACTTAATTTCGACCAAAAAAAAAACACTATTGAGAAAAAATCGCCACGACCAGACACCTTCATTCGGCGACGCTGCGAAATTTCAATAAAGTAAGGATTATAGTAGAATTTTATGCACATATACAGGG